TAGGTTGCAAGTATAAATAAGGTAAAAAAGTCAGTTTTCTGTGTTATTTAAGCGGCAAAACTTCAGATTCGATGAGGGACCTCTTAAAATTGAAATTATGAGCTCCTCTTTTAACAGAATATTTGTTCGGACATATTCTACGATATTTTGGGTGGAGAGCAAGAAAAAAAAAATATCGAGTTGTTTTGGCACACCCTAATATATATATATATATATATATATATATATATATTTATATTAGGGTGCTTTTTTTTTCACTACTTTTTTTATTTTTTCGCTCCCAACTCAAACGCTTGTTAAAAAGGTTAAAAAAAAATCCCTGAAAATTTGAGCCCTTAATATTAACTCAAAGTACTATAAAGATTTCCCATTTAAAATACTTTGATTATTATTTTTTGAAATATCTATATCTTAGCCGCAATTTAAGCTATTGAATTGTTTCAAAAAGGGGTTTACTCGTAATCAAAAGTTCTACAAAAATGCTTTATGTGCCATAGCTGTAATCTGCACCTGTAGTATAGTGCGAGTCACTAAATCTTATTTTAGTGAAAAATTCTCATATTTTTGAAGATATTTCAAAAGTGACTTGATTCTTTGACAAACTTGTAGAAAATTTTTTTTTTTTTAGAAAAGGTCTTATCAGTTGAATCGCTAAGATTGATATTTGTTGAGATATAAAGCGTTTACATTGACAATTTATGAAATTTTTTGTTTTGTTTTTTTTGTTTATTTTTTTCTTATGGTCCTTTTAACGTACACAAATGACATAACTTGTAACACTGATTTTCAGTGGTAAACGTTTTAATATATATATTTTATTATCCTTAAAATAAATCACTAAATTCATTAAATTTATTGCTTAAATATTTAAATACTTTCTTTCATACAGAAAAGATAATTGTAATTATTCAAACAGCCATTTCTACTGTAATAAGCATAAAGAAAAGTAATAAAATTTACAGCCAACTTTTTCGTTTATTAAGCAATAAAGTTAAGTGTTTGGTTTAAACCCAATAATTACTTTGCCTTTTGGTTTTAAATTAGACAAAATTAGAAACCGGCAAAAGAGATTATGATCTATAGGAGATGAGTTACTTAACATGGTAAAAAATGAAGACCAACGTCTGTTATTATAATGTAATTTGAAGTTAACACGCGTCTTGAATTTCTATTGTATTGTATTTCTAATTTACATGAATTAAACAATTAGGTATGATGAATGTTTATGTTTTTTAATTAAATGGAATGTGGATGGAATTACTATTTAGTTTAACTAAAATAAAAATATAAACCGCAAATTTATTAGTGATTTGTCACAATAATTATTATTTTAAACTTGTTGCAAAAATGGCGAGTGCGCCGCTAGTTTATTCATATATTATATCACGAGAACTATGAATTTAATCAGTTAAACTAGGCTCAGTAGTTTTTTGTTTGGTTTTTGTTGGAAAATGTTGAATGCAAAATAATTTAATAAAATCACGAGACCGCGTAGCGGTCGAGGGGTTTTATTTTTTATTATTTTGCATGAAACTATTTTCAAAAAAGAAAAATCAAATAAAAAACTTACTGAGCATAGTTTGACAGATTAAATTTATAGGTTGAGTGATATACGTCTAGATTATTTCTCGAATTAAAGGAAACTATTTGACAATTCATAAAATCTGACGTATGTGTCAAAATTTATAAATATTTTTTTAAAGAAAATTCCATTAATTTAAGGTATGTAATAAGTAATAATTGATATTTCGTAAACTAGATAACTTATTTTTTATTGTTTTTTAAAAAATGTTTGTTAAAACTTGTAAATAACACCATAAAATCCTAAACAAAAATCCAATATGGAGGCTAAAATTTAATCGCTGTTAAATAGTTCTAGTGATTTAACCGCTTATTTAAACGAAATTTATTCGAAAATTTAAGGCTTTTGATTGGTTCACATTATAATGAGGGAAATAATCATATTTATATTTTTGACTTTTCGAGAAAAAGTTATTCTTGATAAAATTAATTTAGACAGTTTTTGAAATGTGATACTTTTCTTGTGCATTGACGAAATCGTATAATAATAATGTTAAATTGCTTAACTGAAAACCTACTAATATAGAATTTTTTAAACACCAATTGTTTAAATAATTATCCTGGCCTTCTTGTGACATCTATATTGCATGCTTACATGTTACTTCATATTACAATAATTTAAAAGTCTAGTAGTTGTCTCATCATATTACTTAACTCTAAAAAATGTGATGAATAAAATTAAATAGGTTTTAAATTTTTAACAATCTTTAAATAAATATATATTTAGCCCGAAACAAAATATTTCTTAACCAAACACTAAAACCAATCGTGCTTTTACATCGACTGACTTTCTTTCCAACGTTTTTTTTTAATATTAATCAAAAATGTGTTACGTTTCCTATGCAACGAATCTAGCAGGCGGCCTGCTGTTGCAGGGATATTTAACATTCACCTCTCTCGCGGCCAACGTTGTTTTCAGTTCCTGCTGCTTTTACCCCAAGCTGCCTTGATCTCGTGTTCAGAGCAACGCAGCATTGAACGTGAAAGTTTTTGATCTTGATTCGTTTTAAAGTTACTATCCACGTTAATAACAATAATAATATTAAAGGTTTGGTTTCTTTAAAATTTTGGGTATGAATTTAAATAAGAAAGTGAGTTAAGTATTAAAAATTAATTCCATACGCAGATTTTACAAAAAATTACTTAAAAAAAAATAAATCAATCAAGTGGTGCGTTAAATTTTACGCGAAGTGTATTTTTTTATCAAGAATTACTTTTCTTTAAAAAAACAAAAATAAAGAATTTCTTACTCTTGTAAACATACTCACTGTATATATGCAACTAAAAACACACCTAATATAGGCACGGTAAAGGTAAAAGTAGCAGTATCTCCTAATGATATGGTTTTGGAACAACTAAATAATATAATAATAATTTAAGTCATAAAATTGTATGTTAAAGAACTAATGTCATAAGACGTCATTTTTTCGCACGCGGACAATTTTGTAATGGACGAGTGCGACAAAAGGTCTTATGACATGAGTTCTTTATGCTATTTTATCTACTCCCACCTTTAAAACGCCCTTTATCGTACATGTTTCCATGACACTAAGTGACCTTTTAAATACACATTGACAAGTTGTGGCTTTATGGCGCTTTAGTCACGGGCCGAAGTTAGCAACAGGTTTTTAGTCACGGGCTGAAGTTAGTTTTAAGTTAGTTGACAGTTGTCAAATGTCATACAATCGTTAAAATAAAGTGCCTTTCTTGTAAAATAATACTAAATGTGAAAATTATTTTATTATCTCAATACAAAAATACAAAAGTATTAAATAGTTTCTCAACGCCAATATTTGAAAAGTTTATATGAACTTGTACTGACCTTTTAATTTCGCCGGCAGTTAACTATAACTTAAATTCGGGCACGGACTCCACTGTAAAGTGCTCATAAAACATTTTCTTTACTTTCACTATGAAAAACTGTCAATTTTTAAGAAATACATTTCGATTTATAACCTTTATAATCTGTGTTTATAAAATATAAAAATGTGACATTTGACGGTGACACACAGATTCCCCTATTGTTTCATAGATGGCGCTCTATACAAATTTTTGATTTAAATCATTTTAAGATAATAATAAGTATTTGTCGTAGAAAAAGTATAGTATGCTCCTCGTTTATAAACTTGGGAATCTACCGGCGTTAAAATCTCAAATTTGTCTGTGTAAATCAAAATTTATCCCTTGAAAATAGACTAACAATCGATATAGAAGCAGTTTTTGTATTGAGATAATAAAATATTGTTCAAATTTATTTTAACGATTGTATGACATTTGATAAACTGTCAACCAACATAAAGCTAACTTCAGCTCGTTTCTAAAGCGCCATGTGTATACATTTCAAAGAAAAAAAATAATTGTTTGTATTTTTATTAACAAAAATTAAAAAACAATATTTACAGAATATAAGTAAGATAAATTATTTATTAAAATTTTGCACCAAATGTTAGCAAATAACTAAGAAAAACTATACCTACTACTAATTTTAACGAATAGAAAATATATGAAAGTATTTGAGTTTTAAGTTTACTTTAAACTTAATGACTAGTTTAAAATTTAAATATATACATTTCAACACAATACAAATATTATATATATTAGAGAAATTTTTTACAAGAGAAAAATAAATAATATTTACAATCCTGTCCTTTTGTATCATACAAAATATCACTTAATTAATAAAATTGGCATCATTTTGTCTATCTATGTCGTCTCCTTGCAAGAACTCGTTCAGTGAAGTCAAGAGGAATTAAATCACTACCTATTGGTGGCCACTTCTAAATGTGGTCTATTTTTTTTAATTTATAATTTAGACCACAATCCACACAACAAGGTCTGTTCTATCTCGTACTAAAAAGACAAAAAATCACTGCAACACTGCACAGGTTAACGACGGCCATTTTTGTTGTTTACAATTTTTGTGCTTTGGGTTTGTGCTCTGTTTATACAGATTAATAATCGTTTTAAACGTTGTTTTTCATAAAGTAAGCCTTAAAAGAGTCCTTAAAGTGCTAAGAACCACCATTTTACTCCTCTATTGTAAAAAATAAACTTTATTCTATCAGGGCTGTCATAAAACTGTCAAATGTCAATTTTAAGGTTAAATTATAACCAACAAATTAACCTTCAAATTGTCATTTGACAGCCCTGATAGAATAAGGTATATTTATTATAAAAGAGGAGTAAAATTGTTGTCCTTAGCACTTAAAGGCCTTATTTGAGGCTTACAAGTGCCCCTGTAAGAAACACAACGTTTAAAACAATTATTAAACAGCACAAACCCAAAGCACAAGAATTGTAAACAACAAAAATGGCCGCCGTTAAACTCTGTGCAGTGTTGCAGTGATTTTTAGTATTTTTAGCATGAGATAGAACAGACCTTGTTGTGTGGATTGTGATATAGGCTATCAAATGGGATACTATCTAATTTTCAATCCCCAATCCTCCTTTACCATATCCGCCCCTTTTTCACCAATCATAATAGTAGGAGCGTTGGTATTTCCACTAACTATGGTCGGCATAATGGAGGCGTCAATGACCCTAAGACCCTTAATACCGTAGACCCTTAGTCTAGGGTCCACAACTGCGTTTGGGTCATACTCTGGTCCCATTTTGTTTGTAGAAGTGGGATGGTAGATGGTGAAGGTGAAGTGCCGAATTTGACATTCCCAAAATTCGTCGGTATCAAAAGCATATTGCCTGCAACCTGGGAAAGCCATGGTGTGAGGTCTCGAGTTGAATCTAAAACGTATAGAGTCCAACGAATAGTTTTTCCCTTATCAACATTTGCTTACCTTTGAAAGGCGTTAGAGTTTGAGACATTCAAAGCTATCCGTATGCCTTCTGTTAGAACCTGTATGTCCTCCTTATGAGTAAAGTAGTTGGGGTTAATATCCGGGTAGACTTTGGGGTCTTTGGATTTTAGCCTAACCCAGCCGGAACTTCTAGGTCGCAGCAAAAGAGGTAGAATCGTCCAAGTTTCAGAATCCTTTAATGGTTTGTACACTGTATTGTATACACTGTCCCTGAGACCGGTGATTTTCTTCACCTAAAATAATTTCATTAAGTTGTCGAATGTTTTATTTGTCACGTGACCCACCTGTTCCCCATCAGAGTTAACGCTACTGGGTGCAAAATGAAATTGTATATCAGGCCAAGACCCTGATTTTGGTGCGTATTTGGTGTTAACAAATGCTAATCCTTCCACCCCCCCTAAAGACGTCATTGGTCCCTTTTCGTTCAAGATATACTCCATGGCCACAGGTAAAGTTTGGAATCTATTTTTCGTAAAGGTTATGGGGTCGTCTATTATGAAGGTCAGACCGCCTAACCCAACGTGGTCTTGAAGGTTATGGCCCACTTTAAGGTCACTGAATACTGGAATTTTGAAGGACTCCAAATGGTCTTTGGGACCGACACCTGACAACATTAGTATCTGCGGCGAGCCGATAGCACCAGCGCTTAATATGACCTCCCTCCTAGCTCTAACGTAATATTGTCTGTTATTCCTGAAGAATTTCACCCCGTACGCTTGTTTAGTCGCGGGGTGTATCAGAACCTTTTGAACCTGAGAGTACATGGCAATATGAAGATTCCTACGCCTTCTGACGGGCCTTAAGAAGGCCTTGGCTGTGGAGCATCTTGAACCGCGTCTTAGAGTTCCTAAAAATTCAAGTCATTATTAATGTCATTTTAGACAAGTAAACTATCAAATGACACACTAGTGTGTTATAATCCATAACTCACTAGTAAGTAACCCACGTTCATATTTAAAGTAGTATTCTATTTATTTATTACTATTACAAGCAGAATTCACATTGATATTGAAATTAAAGGAAAACGTTACAGGTTTATTCAAATTTGAAATCATTGTAAAATTCGTTGGTTCATTTGAACCAGACGCTCCCATATCGGTACAGCTGCTGATAGTGCTGGAAGACGCCGACGCATTAGAACCTTGCATTTTTTCTGCAATTTGTATTTTGTTATGCACCGATTCTTCTAGGTATCCTTCTGCTACCGTCGAGGACTTCCATCCTCCGTGACGCTTCAAAGTAGTCATGTTTGCCCATGCATTGGCCAAAAGAGTCGCCGAAGACCTTCTCAGGCAGTGACCGGTGTAGAGCGCTGGTTCCTCCAATTTCAAAAACATTGCAATTCTTGAAGGTATCTTCGACAACGTATTTATTTCCACACACTGGCTGGTACACCTCTCATTTTTGTAAAAAACAAAAAAGCGGCTAGAACTAGTATTTTTGGTCTCAAAGACATGTATATTTTACACAAATTGATCGGGTTGACTGGAAATCCTTCTTCAAGTATGGTGAAACTTCTCAATTTCTTGGTTTTAGTGTCTGCCAAAACTACCTGAAAATATTTCCCTTTGTCTTCAATATTTTCTATTTTCAAATTGACCAATTCATCGCATCTACAAGCACCGCTAATCCCCATTATCAAAGCCATTTTCATCAAGTCGGGAGCTTCGTTCAAAAACTTCTCTATTTCAGGTCGTTCTAATGTCTTGGACTTCTTTGGTCTGTATCCCTGTGATTTGCTTTTCAAAAAGCTCGTTAGTTTGCCATATTTTGAAATGTCGATTTTTTTATAAAGGTGAATAGTCGAGCGAAGCATCGAGTATTTGGTCCATAGCGACGATGGGGCTAATTTTTTTTGCAAAATAAGCCTTTTATCTTCCGTGAATTCATCCAAGACTCAAAACATTTTGAACTCTTTGTCGTAAGCATCTCGGGACTTTTCTGGCAAAATCTGCATCGCTGCTTCTTCCGCTTCCGTAAGGATATCCTCAGGAACGTAATTTTCATCGGTCTCCTTCATTTTCTATACGTTTTTTTTCTTCAAAAAAGCTTCCCTTTTCTGCAGGGAAAACTGACAAGTGTCAAAATTTATTTAAACATTTGCTAACAATGTATAATACCCGTGGCAACCAAACAAACAACCTACTTTGACCAAAATGTAAAAAAGGCACTGTCAGGTGCCTGACGGCCTCGTAGTATAAATCTGTACTTATCTTACCTTGAGATAACATGAACCCCGCCTGCTTCTCCCCATTGCAGTCCCTTATATCGTACCCCAACTCCCTCCCGGCCTGGAGAAAAGCTATCGACAGTGGCGTCCGCCAGGGGGCTTCTTGTACGGTCAGCATGCCTCCCGTGTTGTGGTACTTCGTTTTGGCCAGATACGGGTTGCGATTGTCTTCGGATTTGAGAAAGTAAGGGAGTACGTCTTGGTAAGACCATCCTGGGTTGCCTTGGGCTTCCCAATAGTCGTAATCAAGTCGGTTGCCTCTTATGTATATCATGGCGTTTAGCACGCTTGAACCTCCCAGCACCTTTAACGTAAAGAAAATTTATTACCTATTGAATGTAATTTTTTATTAAATACAGTTTGGTACTCTCTTAAGATGAATTAGTGAAATTTTACTGAATGAAATAGTCAAATTAGTAGATTTAAATTTAAAAAAAGTTTTGACCCAGTCGGGGATTGAACTCAGGTCTGTCAAGCTGTTGTCATAACCCATTCGACTATCAGCCGCTCTTATATAACTATTAAAAAGTGAAAACAACTATTTTATTAGTAAAATTCAAATAGTAGAATTTTGACTATTTCATTTTAAGAGAGTTGACCTCAGGAATTTTTCCGATAATAAATTTGTTTTTTTCTTTGTTTCAGGTACGTCCTAAATGAACACTTTCTTCTCGCCTGCCACCTGCGTGAGTAAATCCACCATAACAACACCAATCAAATAAAAAAGAATAATTAATCTTCAACAATAAAATCTTAATTATCGATAGACACTCTTTACTTTCTTTTTATGCCACTTTACGCAAGCGACTGCTAATAAACGTCGATTTTGTATGTATGTATTTCCTTTTGTCAGATCATAGATTCAACCGTAAAAAATCACTTAGTGAACTTAACTCCAATATGGAAAAAATGTCCCTTACGCCTCTTTGTCAGAACAGCGACGATATGTGATGTGTTGATAAGTAGCATCCACTAATAAAAAATATCAGTAAAATACTTAATTCCGAATTATAATCTCAAATTTGTATCCCATTCATCAGTACCGTGTCGTCAGTTCCATGTTCGATGTTTCGGTTATCTTTTTTTCGCAAACTTCAATTTAAATTCTGCTTGCGCAGAACTTGTTTATTTAATGTCATTATAAACTCATATAAATTTGGTGTGGGTCCCATATCTAATAATTGAGATATCGGTATACCCAAAATCCACCAGCCGCCACTGATGTGTGGTATTATTTGATTTTAAGATATTTAATGTATAATATGCTTAAAGTTGCAATAAATCTTGTATTTTCCAATAAATTATGTATTTAATTAGTACCCTGGTATAATATAATTTAGAAAACACAAATATTTCAGAAACTGTTTGAAAAAGTGACCAACTTTTGTAGAATCACCCATATATACATATATATAATATGTGTATTTAAAATATCACTTAGTGTCATGAAAACATGTAGGTACGATAATGGGCCTTTTAAAGTTAAGGAAGTAGGAAAAATTATTAAGCTAATTAAAAACTGAATATATTATAAATATTAAATAAAATTTTCTTTAGCAATAATAACATAATTTGTGTTCGACTTTGATGTCAAGAACCTGGCCGGGTAATTCTCAGGCACGTAAACAACCTTCCATCTTCATTTTTTGTTACGTACTCTTACGTGCGAACATTGAACGGACAGTCCGTAACCGAAGAAAGTGAAATCTCTCTGGAGCGCAGTAAATTTAGCATATTATACGATATTTAATTTGACGCTTAAAAACATGTCTTTTTGCTAATGAGCGGCAAGCCTTTTTACTTTCTTGACAATTGTACTGGAATGATGGATACCAGAGAAATAGAGAAAATTGCATTTCTACGAGTAAAATTATGCACAAAGACTTGTTTAGATTTGATGGCATTTATACAAATAACACAGTACGACAAAATTTGATTTTAAGTGCGATCCAATAAAATGTTATAACAGCAAGACAGTATATTTTCATGAAAAATTAATCACTGAATAAACGGACAACCATTAAGATTATTTATTTGTTTTAAAATTATTTTAATTATATACAGGGTGTTGCACATTTACGAAATACGGGTGTTTCACGTTCGTGGTACATTGAGAGTTTCTGAGGAACGGCAAAAGATATCGATTTGAAATTTTTAAAGCGTTTATAATCCAATTAGGCCTATTTTTCTAAAATATTTTAAACAAAATGCCACTTCCGGCTTGACCGGAAGTGACATCAAATTTGTTATTTTAAATGGAATACCCTATATATTTTTACATTTTTAAATTCTACATACAATTTTGAGTAAAATTACTGTACCATGTCCTATACCTATATAGAGTAAATAGTTTTGGAGTTATTAATTTTTTCCGTTCAAATATGACAAATGCGCGTCAATCAAAAATAGCCTATAACTTTCTTGCTATTAGGTTTGCAGAAATGGGGGTGGAATTGTTGGAATCTTGAGACATTGTTTAAAAGATTCCATGTCAATCTATATTTTTTCCGTTCTCCAGATACTTCCAATGCACCACGAATGTGAAACACCCTGTATATCAAGTGGTGTTTTTAGGTTGTGATACCACCATAGATTCGAAAGCAATGTATAATCGTCAAACTAAAATATCAAGATTTGTTTCCAATATATATTTAATATAAGATAAATACAAATCTGTTGTTTTATTTAAAAAAAAAATCAAAAATTAAAACAAGAAATAATTTTTTTATTAAAAAAAAATAAAATTGTAATTTTCTTTATAATTTTTGTATTATGTAAAAATATAAAATATTTGAAGAAAAAAAAAGATTTATAATTAATTTTTTTATGGGAGGAAAATCGTGTACTGTGTGATCAAATCAAATCTTTAGACCTTTAAACATTAATCATTTACAATATTATTTTATACAATACAACAATAAAAGTAAAATGTATTCTTTTGCTAATAATAGGTGTATACTTAATAATAAATAATGATTAATTACAAGTGCGCAAAATTGTTAATTTCCAAGTGTTAAAATTAAATTACTTCCTTAAATTAACTACTCCTCCTAAACATTCTAATAACAGTAATAATTCATCTTTTATTGCTTCAATACTAGCAATCTGTATGGGGCGCTGTTTTATTTTTAACTGCATAACTACAAAATTAATTTTTTCATCGGTTTTTTATTTCTGTTTACTCAGATGAAATTAGGACAAGTTCACAGGTTAAACTTTAAACATTCAATTTGTGTAAATAAATCCTTAGTGAAGATATTTACAATTTGGGCCCATAACCTAAAATTTGAAAGAAATGCACTGGATTCTGTCATAAGTTGCCAGATTTTGTTTGAATTTACCTTCATTACAAAAATGACATAATCAACAATTAATAAAAATTTAAACAAAATTTGGCAACTTTTTTGACATAATCTGGAAACGCTGCTTGTTACCAACCATAACATAATAAATTAAATAAGGCAACCAGATTAGCCTAAAGTTGCTAGTCGATCAGTAGCGTACTTTTTGGTAGGATAAAAGTTATTATAAATTATTTTTAGTTTTTACTATATTACATTAATTACGTATATTAATTCAGAACTACACTAATACACAAATGTTTGATTTTTCATTTATGATAATTATTAAATTTCTACATTTAAAATTGCAACGGCATTGGCACATTTATCAAACATTTTACATACAACAAAAGTTCAAAGTAAATTTTATTGTTGTAACAAATGGCATTTACATTAAAATTACAACATAGGGTAGCCACTTTTATTGTGAAGAATTCAATTATTTTGTTTTGCGTAATTTTATGTTTTGCAATAAAAAAAGTTAACATAGGTTGATATACAGGGTGTCCAGAAATAACGTTATAATAATAATGCACGAGCAACTGCTAGATCCCCTTACACAGAGTACTAGCTAGGATATTTTAAATCTATACAGGATGTGATAAAAAATAGTGTACCTTTCCTCTGGGCCAGTTGCAACGGTCGCCTATCATGGCCAGGCAGTACGGGCTGTCACCTGGCGGCGAAGTTTGGTACATCCAGTCCATCGCTGACATTTGAGTGTACCCCGCCAAAGTTGGTATGTCGGATATTTCGTTTTCGTCCCCTCCCGCCTCCAAAAGCAACACCGTCCAGTTCGCGATTTCCGAGAGCCGCGAGGCGACAACCGCCCCCGCCGAACCGCCGCCAACCACTACAAAATCGTACTCTGGAAGAACCTGAAAAAAAAATTAAAATTTACCTTTTTTATTACTTTATTAATCTTTTTGACACAACTGTTTCTAGTTATTCGGTTAGTTAACTTTATTTTATCTATTTTGCGTTCATAATGACTTCATTATAACACCATGTCATAAGACCTTTTGTCGCACTCCTACGTCGCTCGTTTTAAAAATTGTCCGCATGCGACAAAATGATATAATACGAGGTGTGTTCAGAAAATATCGGGGAATTTTTGTTTTTTGAAACAAATATTTATTATTCGTCTACATTAATGTTGTCGCCTTCAAAATAGTCCCCATTGGATATTATGCACAAGTGCCAGCTCTTCTTCCAATACTCGAAACACTTCTAAAACTCGATCTTTGGGATAGCCTTTAGTTCTTTTAGCGATGCGCTTTTAATGTCATCTTTGCTTGCAAAACGACGGCCCTTTAAGGTTCTCTTAATTTTTGGGAACAGGAAAAAGTCAGACAGGGGCATGTCTGGCGAATATGGAGGCTGGGGCATCATTACAGTATTGTTTTTGGCCAAAAATGTTGTTCAAAATTTAACAATTTTAGAACAAATTTTGCTGCCACGCGTTTCATACCCAAAACATTCGAAAAAATTTCATGGGATGAGCCAATCGATATACCAACATCATCAGCGACTTCTCTGATGGTTTATAACCATTTCTTCCACTTTTTCCATGTTTTTATCGGTTGTTAATGTGCTTGTGCGTTCGGAGCGTTCCTCATCTTCATCTTGGAAACTCTTACACCACTTGTAAACTCTTGTTTTACTTATAGCAGACTCACTATAGGCCTTTGTTAACATTTCACAGAATTTATTTCATTTTTAAGCAAAATTGGATACAAATTTCTTTGATCCATTTCTTTTAACGAACGAAAAATCGCCGAGCTCATAAAACACGTCTAACCTTAGCGGCTGCCACAGACAAAGTAAACAATGAAAACAGCAAGTTTTTATCATACTTCGGGGGCATGTATACCAACATAATAAAGAAAATTTTATGACAACCGGACCCTCCGAACCCGCGAAATTTAACAATTCCCGTTATTTTCTGAACACACCTCGTATACTATTTTGTATAATTTTATAAATTTAGTATTTATATTTTTTTAACTTAAAAAAAATTAACTATAGTTTATAAGCAAGCATTGGTGAGATGTAATGACATTATACCTACCCACAATAATTGTTATAATAATTATTAGTTTTGTATAAGAAGGCACACTATACAATAACAGTAGTGAGTTGTAGCTAATGATCTTTTTATTTTTGCTTTATTCATGATTTAGTGTATTTTGCAGGAGGTACTATTAATAATCCAAAGGGTAAATATATGTGTTGAACACATTGTGTCGTTCTATAGAAAATACACTATTAGATGCAATTTGAGAATAGTAGTTTTTATGGCACCCAGCAAAATTTTTATGATTTTTCTCGGCTTTTATTATTTTAAAATTTTTGTCCAAAATAAATATGGTTTTTTCGCATTAAATCTGATGAATTTTAAAAGAAAACATTCCAAATTATAATGTGCGACAAAAAAACTAGAAGAAACGCGTAATTTTTAAGTTAATTAGTCTTGAAAATCTGTACTCAAGTGAACTGGCTGAATGACCATTGTGCCTCTAACTATTGGAAATACGAAAAAAACTGTCAATCTGTCAACCGTTTTGCCACGTTGTGATTTGAGATTATTTATCGTAGTATTGGTGGATTGCGTCACAGTCCCGAAAAAATTGATAATTATCACGTTATAAGTGTGTTTTCTTCTTACTTTGCCACTGTAACACCCGAAACGAAAAATCATGTAATTGTTTTATTATTATACCTTACAGATTGATTAGTGTAATAATATTTAGTAAAAGTAACGTTATGGTGATAATGATTTAAAATACTAACTAATATCTGAACATGAGACTAATTTGATATGTGTTTTTCTTGATTAAAAACTGTAACACCCGAAACGCTTCGGGTGTTACCTTTTTTCATATGCCGATATATGTGTGTGTATTGCTTGAAGAATGCAATAAGTATTATTTTTAAGGCTCTTTCGACGGCCCACTAGCGCCGCCATCGGAAAAGCAGTTACACCTCTTTAAAAGAGGTGTGACTGATTTTCCGATGGTGTTTTCGAACCTACCGAAATTTCGGCATTTCTGCCTAAATGGCAACGGACCTACCAAAATACCGAATCGTCAATAATTATGTTTCTACCGATTTTTGGCAATAATAACGATTTTACCCTTTTTTCCGATTTATCAATCGCACCAGAAGCTGCTTAGGTTATGTTTAAGGAGAATTCATTCTATTTATGTTTATTTGTTACCAACTTATTTTGTAGTACCTAAAGACTAATAAAACACCGATTTTGTCCATATAAAGTGTTTAATTTTTGTCCTTGTAACACCCGAAACAGAACCATAGTAACACCCGAAACAAAGTAAAATTTTATAAAAAAAAAATAGTAAAACGTTATTTGTGACAGTGATTATGTGGTAGATGGTTAGTAAATATTATACTTTTGGAGGCCTGTCATTTTTAGGAATATTTCCCTAAGAAAATTCGCTAAATTTCAAATAAATGTGACAATGGTCAGGACATAGAGGCAGAATCGTGAAACACCCGAAACGCACACTTTTTGACTTACAAAATCGTTATCCTATATGCTAAACTGTACTAATTTTACAATTTAGATAAAACAACTAAAAACTGACTATAATTGCTAAAATGTTATTTCAAAAAGATGTATACGTATAAATTAAATAAATATAAAGGTAATTTAATTCATCACGCGATAAGTATTCACATTCACTTTCCATCTTGCATTGTTACCATAATAACCGTGTAGTCTTTTGTTTAATTTATGGTTTTCTGGATGGTATTGTTTATGTAACAATGGTACTTTTGTTAATGAACTTTTATTTGCAAAAATAAAAATAAGTTTTACATCCAGTAATTTAATTTGTACATTTTAAAGCATTAATTAAAACTATAAAAAATATATATTTGAAGTAGTTTTTAATAATTATTTAGTAAGTAGGTTTTTGATTGTTCATGCAGTAATATAACAGGTTTTTAAAACTTTGATTTGGTTTTAATTATAACGATTTGTTTAAAATGTTGCAGAATGAATATGATAAATCTGAAGATTAGAAATCAGATACCGTTAAAAATATATATTAAAAAATATACATATTAATATAAAAGTTATTAGACTACAAATGTAATTTCATTGTTTATTGTATTTAATTAAAAAATTACATTATTATTAGAATTGTTTATAAAATATATATTTTTTCTACTAGCGTACATTTGCATTTAAAATGTACGTACGAGGTGTGTTCAGAAAATATCGGGAATTTTCGTTATTTGAAACAAATATTTATTTATTCGTCTACATTAATGTTGTCGCCTTCAAAATAGTCCCCATTGGATATTATGCACATGTGCCAGCTCTTCTTCCAATACTCGAACCACTTCTAAAACTCGATCTTTGGGATAGCCTTTAGTTCTTTCAGCGATGCGCTTTTAATGTCATCTATGCTTGCACAACGACGGCCCTTTAAGGTTCTCTTTATTTTTGGGAATAGGAAAAAGTTAGACAGAGGCATGTCTGGCGAATATGGAGGCTGGGGCATCATTACAGTATTGTTTATGGCCAAAAATTTTGTTCAAAATTTAACAATTTTTCTGCCACGCGTTTCATACCCAAAACATTCGAAAAAATTTCATGGGATGAGCCAATCGATATACCAACATCATCAGCGACTTCTCTGTTGGTTTATAACCATTTCTTCCACTTTTTCCATGTTTTTATCGGTTGTTAATGTGCTTGTGCGTTCGGGGCGTTCGTCATCTTCAACGTCTTCACGGCCATCTTGGAAACTCTTATAATACCACTTGTAAACTCTTGTTTTACTTATAGCAGACTCACTATAGACCTTTGTTGACATTTCACAGAATTTATTTCATTTTTTAAGCAAAGCTGGATACAAATTCTTTGATCCATTTCTTTTAACGAACGAAAAATCGCCGAGCTCCTAAAACACGTCTAACCTTAGCGGCTGCCACAGACAAAGTAAACAATGAAAACAGCTTAAGTTATCATACTTCGGGGGCATGTATACCAACATAATAAAGAAAATTTTATGACAACCGGACCCTCCGAACCCGCGAAATTTAACAATTCCCGTTATTTTCTGTACACACCTCGAAGAAGAATCCATGATGAAAAAAAAAATTATTATTATTTTTTTACTTACATGTTTCACGTTGATAGGATGTGATTCGGGATCGTGATCAACGTATCTCATGAACGCCAATCCAGCGGCGAAAATTGGAACTAGACCCAAAAATGTCATCGGGCTTCCCGCCAAGCCCACGGCCACCTGTCCCAGTGCAGCCAACATCGACATTCTAAATACACTAAATAAAGCACCGGTAGGTCGAGAAAATTTAACATTTAACACACTTTTGTTTTAATTTTTGTTCGTCACATCCACATGCCTAAATTCATTTCTTGATTCAGTATCTTCGGCGTGTAGTTTCTAATAGAAATTTTCTTCATTTGGAACCTCAACACGTCAGTGTTGCCAACGCAAGATTTGTAGTACAAATTATTTTTAATGTACTCAAACTGGTTCGAGTCCTTCAAAGGTTTATTTTGTCGATTTTCGTTTTTATTATGTTGGTAGTGACAGTTTGAGTTGTTTTTGTCTATCGGGGTGGTGTGGTAGAACTGCTTGTGATGTTCTTGGTGTTGCGATTTGGCTCTTACGAGGTATTCCGTTTGATATTTTTGATTTTGGTCGATTTTCGAAACTTGATTTTTTTGATACGGATCGCCTTTGCCCATGACATCAGCAAATCAGGGTGACCACCTGAAAAAATTAAAAAAATATTAACAAAAAAATCATTTGGTGCTGGCCAGCGAGATCACCGGGTCTGTCTCCCATTGCTTTTTTTATAATACTTAAAATGCATTAAGAATTAAAATTCTTAATATTTTAATATGTAAATAAACAATAATGAGTTAAATTTGGGATAGTGAAAGTTAATATTTGTCTCTTTTAAAAAGTATATTTTAATTAACATATATAGTGTATCTTAGGTAGCATATGTATGGCATTTGTAGCTAAATGTAGAAAGTTTAGAAATACTTGGTTTAATATTAATTTTTACTATTGTATAATGTGAATGAACATTAATTAATCTTTAAAAACTAATTTTTATATTTATTATTGATTGAATAGTACTTGTTATATTATACAGTTATACATAACTATAGTATCATTAGTACCATTTAAGTCGTTGTCAATTTTTTTACAGAAAATATCGGGAATTTTCGTTTTTTGAAACAAATATTTATTTATTCATCTACATTAATGTTGTCGCCTTCAAAATAGTCCCCATTGGATATTATGCCCATGTGCCAGCTCTTCTTCCAATAGTCGAAACAATTCTAAAACTCGATCTTTGGGATAGCCTTTAGTTCTTTCAGCGATGCGCTTTTAATGTCATCTATGCTTGCAAAACGACGGCCCTTTAAGGTTCTCTTTATTTTTGGGAATAGGAAAAAGTTAGACAGAGGCATGTCTGGCGAATATGGAGGCTGGGGCATCATTACAGTATTGTTTTTGGCCAAAAATTTTGTTCAAAATTTAACAATTTTAGAACAAATTTTGCTGCCACGCGTTTCATACCCAAAACATTCGAAAAAATTTCATGGGATGAGCCAATCGATATACCGACATCATCAGCGACTTCTCTGATGGTTTATAACCATTTTTTCCACTTTTTCCATCTTTTTATCGGTTGTTAATGTGCTTGTGCGTTCGGGGCGTTCGTCATCTTCAACGTCTTCACGGCCATCTTGGAAACTCTTATACCACTCGTAAACTCTTGTTTTACTTATAGCAGACTCACTATAGGCCTTTGTTAACATTTCACAGAATTTATTTAATTTTTTAAGCAAAATTGGATACAAATTCTTTGATCCATGTCTTTTAACAAACGAAAAATCGCCGAGCTCATAAAACACGTCTAACCTTAGCGGCTGCCACAGACAAAGTAAACAATGAAAACAGCTAAAGTTTTTATCATACTTCGGGGGCATGTATACCAACATAATAAAGAAAATTTTATGACAACCGAACCCGCGAAATTTAACAATTCCCATTTATTTCTGAACACACCTCGTATACCTATATATAGGTACTCAAAACGTAAATTTAAAAAAATATTAATAATAAAGGCATCATAACCAAAGAATAAACCTACAATTTAAAACAAATTGAGTATTAAGTATGTATTGAGATAATACAATAATTTTCACATTTACGAAAATGATATATCCTAATGGAATACTAATTATTTATAATTAATCCATCACACAGACAAATAAAAAGTGAAATTATTGATGTAGTAAGCGAATTTCTTTTTATAGGTATAAGGCGTAATTACGACGACTTATATAATTTTAAAAGTAAACCCAACATTCCTCAATAAGTAACTTTTTATTTTTTAAACATAATTAGACATTTTCCTATCCTTTTACATACAGGGGTTTCCAAAAGTTTCACTATTTTACTTCATTCTTAGACAGACTTCCATGCAACGTGGTTTTTTTTGGGGGGAAACCACCCCGACATTTTAAATAGCAACATCTGTCGAATTTCACCTTATTTTTAAGGTAATAAAAAAAGAAACATTCCCATAAGCCAAAAAATAAAATGTTTTAATGTTTTTTGCATGTATGTAATTTAATGTAATTATAATGTAATTGTGGTTATGTTTAAATTATTGTAGGTTACATTGAACAAGTTGAGTCAAGTTGAGTTGTCAAAATTCGTAGTTAAAAATGCAATTAATTTGGCTTTGGTGGTGCGTAGATGAGTAAAATCATATAAAAAGTAGTTAAATATAGGTGACTACGGCCCAGGAGAGACAAAGTATTCCTAGCGAAAAATAATCTTCGCTTTGATAAAAATTTATATAAATAAAAGAAAATAAAATTTTATGTGAACACATGCCCTTAAAAGTTATTTTACTTTAGAATCTGATATTATTTTTGGCATAGTTATCTTTTTATATCGATATTATATAATAATTAACAAGTAAATTATCAATAATAAATATTACTGTTAATTTGACAGTGTCAGAGTATTTAATTAAGGTCTTCAGCGGAAGTACCATTTTTTAAAATAGACTTACATAAGAACCATCACATTGTCATTAAAGGTGGTGCTACATAATAATATGCTAATTTTATGAAAAATATAAACTTTTATGTAACAAAAAATGACTATACAATGAAGATGGTAATATTGTTATATTATGTATATTTATTGGTATTATATCATTATAATTAAAGTTTTGAATGCTCCACATACATACGCACTTCAAGTTAAAAGTAATCTTTTAAAAGAAAAAAAGTACCGACTTCAGACGAACAATATTGTCAAGGATATTAAGTATACTACTTTTTGATGTCAAATTATCAAGGTGCCTATTTAACAAGTGCCAAGAGGGGAACCATTTTTCAATAAAAAGTAATATTGCAGGCACAACTATTTTATCTATTTTGCGTTCATAATGACTGTAATGACATACTTTATCCCACCCAAAATTTTAATTTTATGTGTTGGCTATACTTTAAACAGCATAATATTTTGCATATTGGTTATAATATTTTTATGATTTTACTAGTACTTACGAGACTTTTCTGGCCATAAATTTTGTTTAACACCAAAGAAAATCCTTTTTTTCTTCTTTAACATTAACAGCCGCTTATTGTAAATAAGTAAATTAAGGACGGCATGGCGAGTCGATTTTGACATTAACTGTCAAACCAATGACTGTGATACCAACTATCTAAAGTAAAATTCCACCAAATTTAATTTAAGGTAAAAAATTAATTTTGCAAAATAGATAAAATATCATAAAGAACAAAATGACATTAGTTCTTTAATATACCTACTATTAAGAACTTAGTACTAAAATACGCTGTTTCAATGTTTTATAGCAAGTAAACAGATTTAAACTGTCAACGAAGTTGGTTATATTAAACATTATATTAAAAAGTTGTATGTACCTTTTGAGTGCACAAATTATCCTTTGTGTAAATCATATTGCCACCCGTAGTACACTATCACTTAACAACAAACACTCAAAAACCGTCAAATAACCCGCAAAAGACCGAGTCGAGGTAAAAAATCTAGCATGCGACGAACTGATGGAAAAAGCCTACCGCGATTTCTTCGCGTACTGGCACCGACTACTACTACTACTGCAAGTGCCGATCGCTGGTGAAATTTCCTGCGAGCAGTGGCTCGCGAACTATAAACATCGGCGCACTGTGGTATATAAAAGTTATTGTATCTTTTGACACCTTAAAAATACAATTATACATACATAAAATATTTATAAAAAAATCTACTTACTGAGATATTACACTTCACGGTGGATAGGTTTTTAAATATCAAATTAATGAAGTTAAACTTTTGAATTATAAAACAGCAACACTCTCATCTACATATAAATTTTAACTGACCTTCAGGAATCACATGCATCTATAATGTCGTAAACAGAGGTTTTTGCTTATTTAAAATGATTAAAGCGCCATCCGTTGCATAAAATTTAAAGCAAAAACAGATTCACGGAGGATAGAATCAATTTTTGTAACACATAATACATAAATGGTTATAAAAATTATTTCTTTTAATTTTTAATAATATTTTATATTTGATTCGTGTTTAATTTACTTAGTGAACTGATGCTTTTAGTATGATTTTACTACCTCAGACATTTGAAAACATATAGGTTAACCTAGAAAAAGTAACAGTCACGGAGGATAGGAGTTTTAGACTTTTAAAACATTGTAAAAAATAATTAATTGCGGTTTAAAAATGTGGAACCTGAGCTGTAATATCTACTTAAATATGAAAGATCAAAACACAATAAAAGTATAGTTTTATAATTATACCATCGGGGGACATTTCGTGAGATTCTTCCAATTATTATTATCTAAAATGATTTAAATTAAATATTTGTATAGGGCGACATCTATACAAAATTAAAGTAACCGTAAGAATGGGAACCTGTAATACCGGCGGCAAATGTCAAATTTTTCTTTGTAAATCGAAGTTTATACCTTGAAAATGGACTAACAACCGTTTAAATCCGATATATAAGCAGTTTTTCACAGTGAAAGTAAATTTTTAAGTAAATTTTTTTTATTAAGATCTTGTTAGTATTGACATTAAAAAAGGATTTAGAAATTGATGTCGAGAATGTTCTTAACCGTCCCACTGTGCGAGCCCAAAAAATGAAAGCGACCGCCAAGATATTCGATGATGATGAAGATTTATGTTTTTCTTCTTTTTCTGCAGCATATTTTTTTTCTGAGCAATTTATC